TCTTATAACCACATAAAAGGTATCTATAATCCGTAATATAGCAAATGATATCTATAAATGGCTAATTACTACTAAAAGATAGTGATTTATGAAAATTTCCCTTAAGAGTATTCAACTCTAAGTAGCTTATTTTTCTTTTCTACTTTCCATGTGGGACTTTGTTCACACACCTAATAATCCCCCCCTTGAACTAAGTTTCACATGACCCATCACCATGTATTGGCTAATTTGAATATTAACTGTATGCCACCCGCATAATCTGAGTATTTACCGTCGCTGAAGCCCAAGGAGAGGTTGTGCATGAGTCTTTAAAGCTATGGGTAAAATCGTAAATCCCTGTAGACGAGCAAATACACTAAGCCAGGCCCCTACGCCACACTCTGTCATCTCCATAGTCCTGCTAAACCATTGGCTCTGATACTAGTTGTTAGGCTAAAACGGCATAAAGATACTTTTAATATAGTGTGATATTGTCCGTTTTGGGCCAAGCCCGCACAATTTTCTCCAAAAGGCCTCACATCACTAAGAGTATTCAACTCCTTATAAGTAGCTTATTTTTCTTTTTTACCTTTCATGTGGGACTTTCTACTTTAAAGAGTTGCTCTGAATAAAGAGATTTATGGGGGAACTTGGCTTTGCTCAAGAAAGGTATGTGCTTTATTGCGACAGTCAAAGTGCTATTCATCTTGGCAAGAACTCAACATTTTATGGTACGTCTAAACATATTGATGTGAGATATTATTGGATTAGACATGTGTTGGATTCTAAGTTGCTTGAACATGAGAAGATTCGCACCGATGATAATGGTTCGGATATGTTAACTAAAGTTCTGCCAAGAGAAAAGTTTGAAGAGTGTTGCACGATCACCGGGATGGCGGTCTCCTTCACATAGTTGGGAGGGAAGGAGGGAATTGCTAGGTTTTTAGGCTTTTTTTCCTTCCTATGTGGATAAATAAAATATCTTTTGGACCTAGATCACTTTGACCTATAACCCACGAATATCAAAACATATAAATATCACATATTTTAAGTTAGAAATACGGCAAGAGAGAAAACATAAGGGTGTAGTTGTTTTGAAGTCTTGTGAGAGAGAAGTGTGTGTTCTTTTGCTCCAGAAAATTTTTGCCGAGGCATTCCGCTTCAGAAAATTTCATTAACTTGCTCAAATTAACTGGAAGTTCTCAACATTTGATTTTTAGAGATCAATGGTGGAGATTTGATTTGGAGGTACGTAACCTTGATTGTGGAGGCGTGAACAGTAGCTCAATTTTGGGATGATTTCTCTCCTTTCTTTAATTGTCTTGGTGCAATCTTATTTTTATTGTTGCTCTTGGTTTGACACTTGCTTTGTAGCCAATTTAGAGAACTTTTATAACTCTTGTTGATTAACTTAGTGGAGCTTTAGGGGACTTTAGTCCGGTGATTTTTTACCTCTTCACGTTGAAAGGGTTTTCCACATAAATTTGGTGTCCCGTAATTATTATCTTCTCTTGATTCAAGTAGATTAGGAAAGTTTGACTTTGATATTACTTCACTGCTACCTCGGCATGCACATTACCTGTGCTTGTTATTTTTCAACAATATGGCCCCTAAAAGTTCCATAGTGATAGAATAAGAGTAAATTACTCTCTCTAAGGAAACATTCCTATCAAATTGGGTCCATTTTTTACTTTCTTACTCGATTTAGCCCTATTTATATGTAACTTATAATTTTTTTTATCCCCTAAGCAAGCATTAAAGACCTATTTCTATTTTTTTTCTTTCCTTCTTTCTTCTTCTCCTTCAGCGTCGTGCATCCCAAATTTTCTCTGCCACTGTTGTTCTCCTTCACCTCTCTTTCAAAATTCAAAGCCGGGATCTATTTGTTACATGTGAGTTGAGATGTTTAAAAGAAAAACTTAATCCTCCATAATTTGGTTTATTCAAAGATTCAAAGCAGAGATTTAAAAAAAGTTGGATTTGAAGTTTCAATATATGAGTTGTGTTCTTTTTTAGCTGAAGTCAAGCTTCTCTCTACTTTGGTTAATTGAAAACTTGAAGAATAAAAATTCACTATTAAAGGTCGTTCGAAGCTTCGTCTTTAGAAATTGAGTTTTTTTGATTTTTTTAGTTGTTTGGATTGAGTGTTGTCTCAATTGATTGAAAACATCAAGAGGAGTTCAAAACTTAAATTTGATGTGATTTGAAATAAAGTTGAGCTAGTTTTGAGTTAAATTTAAGAAGAAGCTCAAAGAAGAAGAAGAAGACCTGTGAAGCTCTATTGATAGGATTTATTTGTATTATAATATATAATATTGTATAATAGTGTATTGGAATATACAAACACCTCTTAGTGCCCGTTAGATTATCTGATTGTAAATAGCTTATAAGTTTGAAGTACTGAAAAGTTTTTTTAAGTGTTGTAACTGATTTTTAAAATAAGCATTTACGTGTTTGGATTGAAGTGCTGAAAATGATAATAAGCAGTTGCAGTGCTTGATTAAAAAGCTATTCTTTTGTTAAAATGACTAAAATACCCTTGAATGTTTTTCAAAAAATTATAAATTAAACAATACTTTGTAAAGAAAATAATTAATAACAAATATGGAATGAAGAGAAAGTCAAGAAATTTATTTTGGGAAAAGTATTTTGTGAATTAGAAAATATTATTAAGGATAAACTATTAAAAATATTGGTCAAACAAAAAGTGTTTATAAGCTGAAAAGCTATAAGTTGGGAGTGACCAGCTTATGACTAATGCCTGATTTTAGCTTATAAGCACTTGTCTTATAAGTACTTTGGGTATTTACCAAATGCGTAGATAAGTCAAAAGGTACTTATAAGCCAGTTTGACTAACTTATAAGCTTAGCCAAACATCCTCTTATACACTATTATAGACTTTTATAAAATATGTGATGCATTATAAGTATTGTGGGTGTTGAAATGGAGGTATGTTGAAGAATACATATCTTGTCATTTATTATTGTATATTTACTTTCCATAGATGTAGAGAAAATCCCATTAATTGGGGATCAAGATTTCTTGGTCAGAAAGTTAGGCTTGATTGATTTGTATTCTTGTGTATATATATTTGATCATCTATAAATAAAGAAAAATACTTCACCCAACTACCTTATTCTTTTTACTTCTTAAGATGGTATCGGAGTAAGATAATTCAAAAAATTCAAATATCAACAATAACAGTCACGGTATAGATTCATTAAATCCATATTTTCTTCAACATTCAGATCATCCCAGCCACATGCGTGTTCCAATCAAATTGAATGGCATCAATTATCCTTCTTAGAGAAAATCCATGATACATGCTCTCATAGCCAAAAATAAAATAGGCTTTATCGATGGATCAATCGAACCGCCATCAGAAACAAATAAGCTTATAGAGTTTGCACTATGGAATCAGTCAACAATATGATTTTGTCATTGCTTGCACATTCAGTGGAACCCGATCTAGCTAAAGTAGTCATTCACTCCAAGACTGCTCACCAAGTATGGCATGATCTCAAAGATCAGTTTTCACAAAAGAACGCGCCAGTAGTATATCAGATTCAAAAATTATTAGCTTCTCACTAGGTAACATGACTGTTTCTTCCTATTTTACAAAACTCAAAGGGCTTTGTGATGAGTTAGATGTGTTTCGATCCTTCCCTCATGCAACCAAATGAGAGCGCATAATGATCAAATTGAAGAATATCGTTTAATGCAATTTCTTATGATTCTAAATTATGTCTATAACATTGTTCGATCAAATATTCTCATAATGTCTCTGATGCCCAATGTCCGTCAAGCCTATTCACTTGTTATTCAACAAGAAACGTAGAGACAAATGACACCAGAATCAATAGAAAGTTTCTCTATAATAGTTGCAGTTCAAAGACGTGCCAATAGTTTTTTCAACAAATTCAAGGATAAGCAGTGTGAGCATTGCAATTGAGAAGGCCACACAATTGAGAATTGTCGCACTCTAAAATTTCATTACAAATATTGTAATAGAAAAGGTCATACAGAGGATAGATGCAAGTTTAAAAATGGAACTTGGGTCAACAACACAAGAGGCCAAAATAATCGACAATAATGCGGATCACAGGGAAATCCTTCTCATGCTGCTAATGCAATAGAATCTTCTCAATCTAAGCACGAGGTTCTCTCGCAAAACATCAACAATTCCCATGGATTTTCAGTAGAACAACTTTAAAAAATTGCCTATGCAATGACATATTGACTCAAAATAATGACTCTCCTGGTAATATTGATGTCTATGCAAATGGAGCAGGTTTATCTCTTTTTTATAATGCTTCAATTAATTCTGTATTCACTAAATCATGGATCTTAGATAGTGGAGCTACTGATCATATTGCTTCTGATTCAACATTATTTACTCAAACTGAATCCCCATTTGTACCCATTGTTAATTTGCCTAATGGATCATCAGTTTCAATTCATTCTACTAGAACAATTCCATTCAACTCAGATAGTACTTTAAATAATGTTTTACATGTTCCCTCTTTTCATTTAAATTTGATGTCAGTCAGCAAACTTACAAATGATTTAAATTGTTGTGCTTGTTGTTTCCCACTTTTTGCACCTTGCAGGACTTGGCTACATGGAAGATGATTGGCTTGGGTAAAAAAACATGGTGGTCTCTATTACATGTCACCAGTGCAGCAACTACCCATTTCTCATCAAGTTTCTCAACCCAAAAGTTTATGGTATATGCGTTTAGGACACCCGTAGCCTTCTCGCCTCAAATTAATTTCTCCATTATTACCTTGTCGTAGTATTTCTTTTGATAATAATTGTGATGTTTGCCCTTTGACTAAACAGATACGACTTGCATTGCCATCAAGTAATATATCTACTAGTGCTCCATTCGACTTGTTACATTGTGATGTTTGGGGTCCCCATAGAGTACCTACTCATTGAGGGACTCGGCATTTTCTTACTGTCGTGGATGATTTTACAAGGTGCACTTGGTTATTTCTTATGAAATATAAGTCTGACACTGCACATCTATTGCAATCTTTTATATCATTTGCTAAAAATCAATTTCAACCTTCAATCAAAATAATCAGGACATACAATGGCACAGAATTTGAGCCCATGAAAAAAAAAATTCACTCATGGAATCGAATGCCAACATACTTGTGTCTCAACTCACCAAAAAAATGGAGTAGTTGAACGCAAGCATCGTCATATCTTAAATGTCGCAAGAGCTTTACGCTTTTAGGCTCACTTGTCAATCACCTTTTGGGGTGAATGTGTGTTGACTATTGTCTACCTCTTTAATCTATTACGAACCCCATTGTTACATTCTAAGTCGCCTTACGAATTGTTTCATCATCGATCACCATCACTTAGTCACCTAAAGTTTTGGGTTGTTTGTGCTACGCAACTGTTATTCAACATAAACAAAATTTTGATTCTCGAGCCAAACGCTGCATCTTTGTTAGTTATCCTACCGGTCAAAAAGGTTACAAGCTTTATGATCTATAAAGCAAACATTTTTTTGTTAGTCATGATGTCAAATTTTCTGAAACTATCTTTCCATTCAGTTCAGCAACACAAACTCCTACTTTAGAGTCACCTCAATCCTCTATTGGCATAATAGATAATTGGCCTTCTCCACTATATTTCATTAAAAATGTTCCATCTTCTCAACCTCAACCCATTGAACCAGCAGAATCTCAAGAACCTAGCATCACAGAGAATATCTTTATCAGTCCTACCCAATCTGAGACTATAGCAGATAACAACCATGACAATTCCAGCCAACTCGTTCAAAACCCAACACTCGAAGAGCCCAATGAACCTGTTTCAATCACTTCAGATGTTGTAGTTCCTTCTTCTCCTCATCTAAGGCAATCTATTCGTGAAAAAAATCCACCAAGATGCCATAAAGACTACATAGTATTAGCTCAAGCCAGTCACTCTTCTACTACGCCAAGTTCGGCAACAGGTACTCGATATCCTCTTTCTCATATTCTTTCTTACTCTCGTATCTCTTCAGTCCATTGTACATTTTTAGATAACATTACATGTCACATAGGACCTTTTTCATATGCTCAGGCTATCCTTGATCCACATTGGCAACAAGCTATGAATACAGAATTAGAAGTGTTAAAAAAAATAAGACTTGGAGCTTAGTTTCACTTCCTGCCGGTCAAAAGCACATTGGTTACAAATAGGTTTATAAAATCAAATACAAATCAGACAGAATAATCGAGCATTATAAGGATCGTCTTGTCTCAAAGAGGTATACTCAGGTTGAGGGAATTGATTATGAAGAAATATTTTCTCCTACAGCAAAACTCACGACACTCTATTGTCTTCTTAGAGTTGTTTCTGCCAGAAATTGGTTCGCCTATCTGTTGGATGTCCAAAATGCTTTTCTTCATAGGACCTACATGAAGAGATACTTATGGAGATTCCACCAGACCTTCACCGATAGGGGGAGAACACTGTATGTCGGCTCCACAAGTCCCTTTATGGCCTTAAAGAAGCATCAAGAAATTGGTTTCTCACTTTTTCAGAAATTATTGATAAAGCTGGTTATCAATAATCAAAGGCTGATTATTCCTTTTTCAGCAAGGCCAAAGGTACATCTTTCACAACGATCCTTATTTATGTTGATGATATACATTTTCAAGAAATTGAACGCAACAAAGGGGTTCTTTTCAAATGCTTTCGCATTAAAGATCTTGGAGACTTGAAATACTTTTTGGGTATTGAGCTTTCTATTTCAAATGAAGGCATCTTTATGTCTCAAAGAAAATATGCACTTGTGATGACCCGGCCAGTCGTCTCATGAGTTACCGCTCTGTTTCCCCCATTTCTGCTTTTTATTGCTTTGTTTATCGGTTCTATGTGTGATTGAGTTGGTTGGCTCGGGTTCGGAAAGGTTTTGGTGAGGTTTGAGACACTTAGTCTCTTTTGAGAAAACTTAAGTTAGAAAAGTCAACTAGATATTGACTTATGTGTTAGAGAGCTCGGATGTGAGTTTTGAGGGTTCGAATAGCTTCGGGAGGTGATTTAAGACTTAGGAGTGTGATCGGAATGTGCTTTGGATGTACGGAGTAGATTTAGGCTTGAATTAGAGAAATTGGAATTTTGGCATTTTTGGTTGTTAGGTGAGATTTTGATATGGAATTCTGAGAGTTGCAATTGAGGTGATGCACACGCTAGATGACGAGCGTGGGGTTGTGCACCATTGGGGATCGTGACTTCGTCCGTCCCAAATGACTGTTTTACTGCATATTTGATTGAAAACTATTTGATATCATCATATTTTGGGATGAATACCATATTTGGGCCTCGTACCAACTATTTGGACCCTTAGGGGAGTTTGAATGATATTTCCTCACTGTTTTGACTTTATACTTGTACGCAGCCATGCTATATTGTATTATTTTCATAACTCAGCCATGTTTATTCTGCGTTAACACTTAAAATGTTATTTTGGGCTGAGCATCATGTTTTACTGTTGCCCGAGTGGCTTGTGAGATTCTGACTGAGTAAGGCCGAGGGCCTATGTTGTAAGGAAACACTGATTATGATTATGAAGCCGAGGGCTTGAGATTGTACGCCACGAAGTGGCTTGTTGATATGAGGCCAAGAGCCTATTGAGTATGCCACGAGATAGCTTGATATTGCGTTTGGGCCGTAAGGGGCCCCTCCAGGAGTCTGCACACCCCCAGTGAGTGCGGGTACCCATTGTGATATGAGATATAGTCCGAGGGGCTGGTGTTGTTCTATGATATTGCCTGAGGGGCGGATTTTGTTGACATTGTGCCCGAGGGGCAGTTCTTTATGTGTTTATCTTTCCTAGTTGCCTGTCATTTACTTGCTTAACTGTTAAAAAGGCATTTCAAAGAAGTTTAAATTGAACTAAAGTGACTTTACATATTTTCACAGTTTCATTACTTTTATTGGCCTTTACTGCTTCTTTATAGCCTGTTGATGTGCCTTTACGTGATTTCTTATTTTCAGTCTGCATTTATTATTATTACTCACTGAGTTGGAGTACTCACTTTACTCTCTGCACCCCATGTGCAGATTCAGGTGCTTCAGGTCCTGCTTGCGAGGGTTGAGATAGCTTCCTGCAGATTTTGGGATTCACTAGGTAGCTACCGGCGTTCGCAGCCCAATGCTTCTCCCTCTATTTTATTTCCTTCTGTCTTAATTATGTAATAGTTGACTAGACTCTTTCAGACTTGTAGTATTATTATAGATGCCCATGACTGGTGACACCCTGATGCCAGGCTATGTCTATTCCGCAATTGTAGACTTCACTTTATTTTGGGATTTCATTATGTTAAAGTCTTAATACTTATCATTATAATTGCTTAAAATGAATTAAAAGTGTGTCGGTTGGCCTTGTCGTCACGAGAGGCGTCGTCACGACCGGGTGAGAGTTTAGGATCGTGATAAGTTGGTAGCAGAGCCTAGGTTACATAGGTTTCATGAGTCATGAGCAGGTTTAGTATAGTCTCGCGGATCGGTATGGAAACGTCTGTATTTATCCTCAAGAGGCTGCAGAACCTTTAGGAAAAGCTTCACATTCTTAAAATTCTTGTCGTGCGAATTTGTTGATCCGAGTGCTAAACTTCTGTTATTCTATTCTCTCACATATGGTGGGGACACGCACTACCAGTTAGGATGGACGACCACCAGTACCACTAGCTGTGGCCACTAGAGGCCAAGGACACGGTCGTGGTAGAGGTTGGGGTGTGGCCCGCACAGCAGCTAGGGCAGCACTTTCAGATCCACCAGCCGCATTAGTTTAGGATTAGGTCCCAGCTATGGACGCTCCAACTCAGGCACCAGCTGTGCCTATTGTGATTCCGGGTCTTCAAGAGGCCTTGGCTCAGATTCTATCAGTATGCACTGGCCTAGCTCAGGCGGTCTCAATTACTACAGCCGCATCTAGTTCTCAGGCCGGGGGAGGCAATCAGACTCCCGCCGCTCGCACACCTGAGCAGGTCATGCAGGGACTTCAGACACCGTGGGCACTTCCAGCCCAGCCGGTTACAGCTGCTCAAGACTATGTAGCTCCTGCCATGCCAGAGGACGAGCAGCGTAGGTTGGAGAGGTTTGGTAGACTTCAGCCTCCAACTTTCAGTGGTGTAGAGGGCGAGGATGCCCAGGGTTTCTTGGATGAGTGTTAAAGGATGCTTCGTACAACGGGTATTATGGAGACCAGCGGGGTCGCTTTCACTACTTTTTAGTTTTTTGGCGTTGCCTTCACTTGGTGAGAGGCTTTTGAGAGGCGTAGGTATGTTGGTGCAGCACCCCTTACCTAGCAGTAGTTCTCCGTTCTTTTTCTAGAGAAGTATGTGCCGCAGTCTCGCAAAAAGGAGTTGCGCAGGTAGTTTAAGTGGTTGCGTCAGGGAGAGATGACTGTGACACAGTATGAGATGAGGTTATGCGAGTTAGCTCCTCATGTTATTTGGTTGGTTCCGACAGATAGAGAGAGGATTAGGTTTGTTGATGGCCTCACTTATCAGCTTCGTATTCTTATGACCAGAGAGAGGGTGACTGGTGCTACTTTTGAGGAGGTTGTAGACATTGCTCGTGAGATTGAGTCAGTTCGTTGCTAGGAGCGAGAGAGAGGAAGGCCAAGAGGCCTTGAGGATCTGGTAGCTATGATGGTGCTCCTTCGAGAGGTCAGTTTTAGCCCAGTAGAGGCTGTCCACTCAGGCATGCTCAGCTAGCTCGCCCAGGTTATCGTGGGGCGTCATTGGGTCATGGTTCTCACAGTTCTCATCAGGGTCAATCATCACTTAGTGCACTTTCAGATCAGAGTTCGTCCTGCGCTCCATAAGTTCAGGGATCTTATATGCCAGGTGCATCTACCAGCCATTCTGGTGCTAGGGGTTCCCTTCAGTCCCAGTCCCCAGTACCCGGGAGTTGCTATGAGTGTGGAGAGATGGGTCATATGTGGAGGTAGTGTCCTCGTCGTCTTGCAGGTTAATCTTAGCAGAAGAGTCAGCCATCAACTTCAGCGCCAGTTACATCATTCCCACCCACCCACCCAGCTAGGGGTGGAGGTCAATCATCTAGGGGTCGCCCTAGAGGGGGAGGTCGATCAGGTGGCGGTCAGGCCTGTTTCTATGCACTTTCAGCTAGACCCGATGATATTGCTTCCGATGCTGTTATTATAGGTATTGTCTCAGTCTACCACAGAGATGCTTCTATATTATTTGATCCTAGTTCCACCTTTTTCTTATATGTCATCATACTTTGCTCGTTATTTGAATACGCCCCGTGAGTCTCTTGTTTCACCTATTCATGTATTTACTCCGGTGGGCGATACTATTATTGTAGACCGTGTGTACCGGTCGTGTGTGGTGACTATTGGGGTCTAGAGCCCCGAGTGGATCTGTTGTTATTATGTATGGTAGACTTCGATGTTATTTTGGCCATGGATTGGCTATCTTTGTGTCGTGCTATTCTGGATTGTCATTCTAAGACATCACATTGGCTATACCGGGTGTGCCACGGATTGAGTGGCCAGGTTTGACTGATTATATTCCCAGTAGAGTAATCTCATTCTTGAAGGCCCAGCGCCTTTTTGAGAGATGTCAGTGCAGAGACTCCTAGTATTAATTCTATTCCAGTTGTGAGGGATTTTCTCGATGTGTTTCCTACAGACCTACCGGGCATGCCACCGAGCAGCGGAGTTGAAGGAGTTAAAGGAGCAGCTTCAGGAACTCCTTGATAAGGGATTCATTTGGCCTAGTGTGTTGCCTTGGGGTGTGCCGGTTATATTTGTGAAGAAGAAGGATGGTACAATAAGGATGTGCATTGATTATAGGCAGTTGAACAAAGTAACAGTTAAGAACAAGTATCCTTTGCCTCGCATTGATGATTTATTCGACCAGCTTCAGGGAGAGAGAGTGTTCTCCAAGATTGATCTCCATTCAGGTTATCACCAATTGAAGATCAGGGACTTGGATATTCTTAAGATGACTTTCAAGACCCGATGTGGTCATTATGAGTTCTTGGTGATGTCTTTTGGGCTAACCAATGCCCCAGCAACATTCATGCATCTGATGAACAGTGTGTTCCGGCCTTATCTCGACTCGTTTGTCGTAGTCTTCACTGATGATATTCTGGTGAATTCACATAGTCAGGAGGAGCACGCGGAGCATTTGAAAGTTGTGTTGTAGAGATTGAAGAAGGAGAAACTTTATGCAAAATTCTCCAAGTGTGAGTTTTGGCTCAGTTCAGTGGCTTTCTTGGGGCACATAGCGAGTGTATTCAGGTTGATCCGAAGAAGATAGAGGCGATTCAGAGTTGGCCTAGACCGTCCTCAGCCACAGAGATTTGCAGCTTTCTTGGTTTGGCGGGTTATTATTGCCGGTTTGTTCAGGGATTCTCATTTATCACATCGCCCTTACCAAGTTGACTCAGAAGGGTGCTTCACTCGTATGGTCGATGAGTATGAGGACAATTTTTAGAAGCTCAAGACAGCTTTGACAACAGCTCAAGTGTTAGTTTTGCCATTAGCTTCAAGTTCATATACCGTGTATTGTGATGCTTCGAGAGTTGGTATTGGGTGTGTATTAATATAGGAGGGTAGAGTTATTGCTTATACTTCTCGTCAGTTGAAGCCCCATGAGAAGAACTACCATGCTCATGATTTGGAGTTGGCTGCCATAGTTCACATGCTGAAGATTTGGAGGCATTATTTGTATGGTATGTCTTGTGAGGTGTTTACTGATCATTGTAGCCTCCAGCACTTGTTCAAATAGAAGGATCTCAATTTGAGGCAACAGAGATGGTTAGAGTTGCTAAAGGATTATGATATTACTATCTTGTACCATCCGGGGAAGGCTAATGTGGTGGTCGATGCTTTGAGCTGAAAGGCGGTGAGTATAGGGAGAGACCTCTTGTAGTTGATGTTCAGGCCTTGGCCTATCGGTTTGTGAGGTTGGATATTTCGGAGCACAGCCGGGTATTGGCTTGTGTGGTTTCTCGGTCTTCCTTATATGATCGCATTAGAGAGCGCCAGTATGATGATCCTCATTTGCTTGTCCTTAAGGATAGAGTTCAGCACAATGATGCCAGAGATGTGACTATTTGTGGTAATGGGGTGTTAAGGATGCAGGGCGGATATGTGTGACCAATGTAGATTGGCTTTGGGAGTTGATTCTGGAAGAGGCCCACAGCTTGCGGTATTCCATTCATCTGGGTGCCGCAAAGATGTATTAGAATCTGAGACAACATTATTGGTAGAGGAGAATGAAGAAGGACATTGTGGGGTTTGTAGCTCGGTGTCTCAATTATCAGCAGGTGAAATATGAGCATCAGAGACCGATGGCTTGCTTTAGCGGATGGATATTCCAGAGTGGAAGTGGGAGAGGATCACTATGGACTTTGTAGTTGGACTCCCACAGACTTTGAAGAAGTTTGATGCTATTTTGGGTGATTGTGGATCGGCTGACCAAGTCCGTGCACTTCATTCCTATGTGTTCTACCTATTCTTTAGAGCGGTTGGCAGAGATCTATATCCGAGAGATTGTTCGTTTGCATGGTGTCCCAGTTTCCATCATTTCAGATAGGGGAACTCAGTTTACTTCGCAGTTTTGGAGGTCTGTGCAGCGAGAGTTGGGTACTCGGGTTGAGTTGAGCATAGCTTTTCACCTTCAAATGGATGGGTAGTCCTAGCGCACTATTTAGATATTAGAGGACATGTTGCGTTCTTGTGTCATTGATTTCGGAGGGTCATGGGATCAGTTTCTACCGCTTACAGAGTTTGCTTATAACAATAGCTACCAGTCGAGTATTCAGATGGCTCCATATGAGGCTTTGTGTGGGAGGCGGTGTGGATCTCCAGTTGGTTTGTTTGAGCTGGGCGAGGCTAGGCTATTGGGGACAGACTTGGTGCAGGATGCTTTAGAAAAGGTGAAGGTAATTCAGGAGAGTCTTTGTATAGCACAGTCGAGACAAAATAGTTATGCTGACAAGAAGGCTCGGGATGTGTCCTACATGATTGGTGAGAAGGTTTTGTTGAAGGTTTCGCCCATGAAGGGTGTTATGAGATTTGGGAAGAAGGGTAAATTGATTCCTCAGTTCATTGGGCCTTTTGAGGTGCTCCGGAGGATTGGGGAGGTGGCTTATGAGCTTGCCTTGCCACCCAGCTTGTCGAGTGTGCATCCGGTATTTCATGTTTCTATGCCCCGAAAGTATACTAGGTATCTGTCTCATGTTCTGGATTTTAGTACAGAGCAGTTAGATGGTTATTTGACTT